TTTGTCAAAGCAAAGAAAGGGGAATATTTCCCAAGCAGTGCGGCACGGACTTTTTAAAAGTAAACAAAAAGTTAAGATGTCGGGGGCCAAAAGAGACAAGGACAAGGAGAAGGAAAAGCAAGCAAAGAAGCTAACGATCACTTCCGATCCTAGTTCCCGCCTCTCTGGTACAGCTGTCAATCACCAAGAAAGTAAGATGCTTCGCCCTCTGCTGGATCAGATGCAGAAAATCAGCCAAAGTTTAGTAAGCATGGGAAGTGTTCTCAGCAGTCAACAGACGCAGTTAACTGATACAGCCAAGAAAATGGAGGAGACTGCAAAGAAATGCCTGGTTTCAACAGAAGATACGCAGAAAATCAAGAAGAAGGTCAGCAAAATGGAAAGGAAGCAAGAAATGCAAGAAAATAAGTTACTAATGTTACAAATGGAACAATCTAATTTGACTCTCCGATTTCAAGGGATCAAAGAAGCAGAAAAAGAAGATCTCAGAAGCATATTAACTGAAGCGTTGGCACCACTGACGGGCAGTGAAGCGGATAAATTAAGCGAAGAAATGGATCTGATATACAGATCCTATTATAACTTTACAAAGAAAAATAATCTGCCAGCTGAAGTAGTTATCAAATTTACCAAACAACGTGTAAGAGATCAGATCCTCAAAGCGACCTCAGCAACACCCTTGAAAATTGGAGAGCAAACTATAAGGATTTTAAAAGATGTGCCATTTGAAATTCGACAGAAGCGGAAGGCATATAAAGGACTGACCACATTCTTGCAAAACCGTCAAATTAATTACAGGTGGTTGTTTCCAGAAGGACTGGTCTTTAAGTTTAAAAACAAAAGAGAGAAAATTTACTCCATTTTCAAAGCACAAGAGTTTTTGAAGAGGCACGCCAGTTCAGAGGAAGAAGCAGAAAATTTTCAGCAGCGACGAGGACAGCAATCCCGAGGGAGGTGACGAAGAACCGGAGGAGAAAGGTGGGGGGTGTCTCCTATAACCTAAGAGAGAAGAAAGGAAGGCGCCCCAACACCTGATGAACTTTTAACTGTGCTGCAAAGACATATTCGTACTAACCTAAAAGGACTTTACTAATCTAACTAATTTTTATCTTTGACAGGTAAAGGAGCAAGAAGATCAACAACTCACAGTGGAGAAATGGACTGCATTAATACGGTTAAAAGATTAACATACTAATATACTCATCACTCTACTTTTTCTTAACCCCTCTATATACCCTTCCCCCTTTCTGTAAATTTAAAGCAATAAAATTCTCTCTTTTTTAGGAGAGTACAATAAAAAAAAAAGAAGTAGTATTTAAAGAAGTACTTGTCCAGAGTTGTAAAAAGGCAAAGCTACTTCTCCTGGTGTTAGCAATGGCAGTGCTTTCTGCCAGTTTTGCCTCCTTTGTATTTCTTGAAAATGGCTTCTTCTAGCATGTTACTGTAATTTTACTTTTTTGATTCCAACAGAGTGAGTAGATTTCAGTTAAATGCTAGCCATGGTTTGTTTTTTGCACACACACCCTACTGTTGTTGGATTCCTGCTAAAAAACTTCAGTTTTCACTTTTTAAATGTAGCCCATATCCATCACCTCATGACTCCATACAGTGAAGGAAATAGTATGAAAACTATCAGCCACACTTCCTTGAAGTTGCTACAACACTTCTCTGCTAATTTCTGTTAGTTCCTAACTGATTTTTGACTATCTTGTATCATTCTAACCTGTGCAGTGACACTGTAGTTGGGAAAAAGTGATTACTAAATGCAATTACCTGAATTTGTCAAACAAGAATTCAAATTATTTTAAACTCCTTGAACTGTTAAGTAATAAGTATGACATTCAAAGAGGAAGCAAAAAAAAAAAAATTGTCTACAAGACCAGGCTGTGACACACATAGTATTTGTACCCTGCCTCACCATATGTATAGGCAATGAAATAGCAATATCATTACAATGAATTATCGAAACAGAAATACAAGAACAGCAGCAAATGCAATTAAGACAGGAATTAGTATAAAATTCTTAAAGCACAGTAAAAATAAATGGTTTTAAAAATAATTTGCAGTCTCCAAGGGCTTGAGTATTCTCAATGCAATGTCTGGCTTTTCCTTTCAACAGGCTCACGAGGCATATCACAGATTGCTTTTTCAAATACTTCTCCATTTCAAAAGGGATACACCATGTGGGATAGAGGGTTGCTATGGGAGACCAAAATTCCCCTTGGGGGAATTTTATAACTGATCATCCCAATTAGAGAAAGGGGCTGGAATACTGATACTCAAAATTATTTACAGCAGAACATTATGAAAAGAAGATGCAGGATACATGTGTGCATGGGGAGGAAATTTTGCCATCCAGCTTGCTGGGTGACCTTGGCCTGGTTGCGCTTTCTGCCTAATAACAGGGTTGTTATGAGGATAAAATGGAGGAGGGAGAACCATGTATGCTACCCTGAGCTACTTCTGGAGAGTGGGATAAAATGTATCAGGTAGATATATACTTAGAGAGGTATTGATTCTTTGTGGGTATGGAAAAGACACAATGTACACATTTTGTGGCACCCGCCTTAGGGAGCCAGCATATGACTTTATGGATAGGGTCCTGAGCATCCAGGCTGGAGCAGTCGTGATGGGAACGGAGGTGTGTTGTGACTTAGGGAGTGCAGTCTGAACACAGATCTCTTCCTTTTCCCAGGCTGTCATCACACAATTCTTGCTTGTTGCAAGGGAATGCCACACTACAAGGCTCAGGTATGCAGGCAAGAATACCAGGGGGTTTGCAAATGCAAGTGAAAAGAAAGTAATTGGTGTGCAAAGAGACTCAAGTAGACTGACTGACCTGGGATTCGAGAATCTGGGTGGAAGGGAGCATGAGGGACAGTGGTTGTATCCTAAGAGCTCCCACTGCTGAGTCAAGGAATACCCAGAGAAACGTGCCTGTGTCACTTTCCTCACTTGAGGAGGTCAAGTATCGTTCCCTCTCCCCTTAGCCTATTCCATAAATTAACATGGCTGCACAAGGCAGGCTTTTCCCATTGTAAGTACACATCGCTTTACTATATAGTCAATTGGCTTCAAAGGTTATCAAATACTGGACGTTAACAAAAGTCCTTCAACCAGCAGCCAAGGGAGGGACAGTAGTTTCTTATGAAGCTGCTCAGAACCTGGATGTGTCAGAATCAGGATTGTCTACTCTGGCCCCTGTCACACGGGCAGGAAACTGCAGTGGAGAAGTGTGGCTGTTTGCCCCGGGGCAAACTAACATGCAGTAAAGCGATCAGACCTACTGTGGAGGTTCTGTGGAGGTACTGTGGAGGTTCCATGGCAAGGGAGAGGTGCCGATCACAACACACGCCTGCGCGCAATGAAGAAGTGCGCGGCGCGGCGAACTGGTTTTCTTTTTTTGTGTACACTACGAATGCGCATGCTCCGTTGGGTGCGTGTGCGCATCCACGGAGACGTGGGGGAAAAAAACCCCTTTTCCGCAAGGGGACAGGGGGGGGCCCCGGATGCCACCGGAAACGCGATCAGACGCCCGCCCTTGCCCCGCAGTTTCTGGAAACTAGTACCTCCAAGGTACTAGTTTTTTGCTGCGCTTTTTCGGCAGGAAGCCTCAGTTGTGCCACGGAAGCACTACGCTTCCCAGATGTGCTGGTGAGATAGCGACCGGAAACTCCGCTTGTCTTCCGTATCTCTTGCGTGGCTAATGTTGCGTGTGACCGCAGCCATTGATTGGCAGCAGCTCTCCAAGGTCAGAGGTAAAGTTCTTTTACATCAGGAAAAAGTACTTAAATGTCTGACTCAGTTTATATTGATCTAAATGAAGTGAAGACTTGATGTAATGAAGCTAGTGAGGATCTCCTTTCTTGGGTTTTTAGTCAGTAGTGGGTTTCTATACTTTGTCCCGTATATGTAGTCCCCCTTCCCTTTTTCTGTGATAGTTTTTGTAGTTTGAAAAAAATAATAATAAAAAATCCCCTCTGGGGGTTCAAAAAAAAAGTTCTTTTACATCATATGTATTGATACTGCTTATTGCATTGTTCTCTAATTTTGTAACCTGCCTTTATTGCATTATTCATTGTAAACATGCTGGATTTTATTAAAGAGCAAGGTATTTGCTTACAGCGACCCACAGTGGACACAGATAGAACATGTAATAATAGCAGCAAAAGGGTAAAATAAAAACTCTCAAAAATATTAATAGTAAACAGAAATTGTAAATGGCCACAGAGGCCCATAGAAAAAAAAGCCCAAAGTTGTAGTAAGAGAACAACCGTTATGAAACACCGCAATCTGAGTTCATTAGAACTCTTCTTCAGGGTCTTAAGAGAAACAAAATTGGGGGGAGGGGGAACTGGCCATAGTCAAGAGACGACAAAAAAAAGATATTCCATCTATTGTGAAATGAAAGCAAGCAAAATTTAAAAATACTGCGAAACAGGCACTGCAGTGTAGACAGAACAAAGTTAGAGTCCAGTGGCACCTTTAAGAACAAGTAGGTATAAGCTGTCGAGTGCACGCACACTTCCTCACATACGATGAAACGGAAATTACCAGGCCACACGTATATGTAGAGGGTGAGAGCAGTAATTTAGTATGCCAATACGCTAGTATGCGTGCACTCGAAAGCCCACACCTTGAATTAAACTTTGTTGGCCTTAAAAGGTGTCACTGGACTCCCAACTTTGTTAACTGCCGCTTCAGACCAACCCACCTGAATGTAGATATTATTAAGTCATATTTTAAAAATCGCAAGGCAGACATTAAATAGTTGCAACAGAAACGTTTTTAAAACTCTTTACGAACTCGGGGGGCAGGCCAAAGGCCCATCCAGTCCTCAGCCACTCCATAAAGGCTGTTTTCTTATCCGGTTCCCGTCTTATTGGTTTGCAAGCGCTCCCTAGAGAGTCGGAAGTGCGGGTTTTCTTCCGGGGGAAGGACGTAACGCCCCTTTTGCAAGGGAGGGAGATGAGGGGGGTGGGTGGGGAAACCCCCGTCGTTCTTCTTCCGGGTTGCAGCGTTGAGGTGTGTGCCGCGGCTGCGTCAGAGGGAAAAGCCGGTCGGAGCCAGGTACACGAGGGGTATGGAGCAGGAGGAGGAGTGGACGGTCCCAAGAACGGAGACGGGAGCACGGTGTGGCTGGCCGGTCGCTGGCCGGAGACCCTAAACTGGGCGGAGGAGCCGTCGGAGAGTCGCAGCGGCTGAGGGCCAAGGTGGAGTGTTTTTTTTGGGGGGGGGGGGTTGGGATTCAGAGAAGGAGCCGTGAGAGCATCTGCTTTGCACGCAGCAGGTCCCAATCGCCACCGTTTCCAGTTGAAACAATGAAGTCGTGGGTGATGCAAAAGAACTTGAACCCATGTGCTCCCTTTCAGGTGTGGAGTCTTGTGGGCAAAAATCCTATTTTGTGAGCTACTGGCATCAATGCTCCCTCTAAGTTGTGGAGTGAGCAAAAATTCTACTCTGTGAGCTACTGGCATTAAAGTTGTGAGCGAGCAATTTGGCTAAATCGGTTTGCTCTGTATAAATCGGTTTGCTCTGGAGCCCCATCCTTCCTGAGCGATGACAAAAATGTGTGAGCCGGAGGCTAGAAAACTGCGAGCTAGCTCACACTAACTCAGCTTAGAGGGAACACTGACTGGCATTAAAGTTGTGAGCGAGCAATTTGGCTAAATCGGTTTGCTCTGTATAAATCGGTTTGCTCTGGAGCCCCATCCTTCCTGAGCGATGACAAAAATGTGTGAGCCGGAGGCTAGAAAACTGCGAGCTAGCTCACACTAACTCAGCTTAGAGGGAACACTGACTCGAACCAAACCCGGCAATACTAACCTGGGCAGACTGAAGGGCGATTTAGTATACAACTTTAATGTGGCTTAGCTCAGTGGCAGAGTATGAAGAAGGTCCCAGGTTCAATCCTAGTAATCTTTCCTCAGAAGAATTAGATAGTAGGTGGTCTGGAAAGACCTCTCCCCCTGAGACCATGGAGAACTGCTGATCAGGCAAAGCAGGCAACTGATCTTGGTGGACCAGTGCTCTGACTGCCTAGCATGCAGTTTCATATGCTTTGCCACTGCTGTGGAAGTTATTTAATGGACGTTCATAGAGAAGACCCCCTTCCCGTATTCATTCACGAGCATCTTCAGTAAAAGGATGCTGGTGAAGACCCCTCTGCCAGACAACAGTAGACATTGCAACAGTAGAAGGCATAATATGAGGAGTGTTCAGCTCAGTCGTAGAGTATCTGCTCTGTGTTTAGAAGGTCCCCAGCTGGGTTCCAGTCACCAGTTAAATAAAAGGATCTCAATGAGCAGGCAGCGGGAAAGGTTTTTCTCTGGTAGAGAGCCAATACAAGGAGATTATCCTGAGCAAGATGGACCACTTGACCTAGGACATGTCCATCAGCTGTTGGGAAGGGCCATGGCTCTGGCAGAGTCCATGTTTTGGAAGCAGGACTGAAGTTAAAAGCTGTGGTGTTGGAAATGGCCCTTTCTTTGAGATCCTAGAGAGCTGCGGCCAATTAGAGTAGGTAATGCTTAGCAGTATGGCTTAGTAGTCAAACTTGGTAGACAGTAGTATTGTATGTTTGTAAGGAGGGCTGTAGCTCAGTGGGTTAGCATGTGTTAAGGGGCCAGATTCAGTCCCTGGCATCTCCACTAATGATTTGATTAGCATTAGCCTCCTCTTTGCTGGTCATCCAGGCCAGTGTGAAACAGATGCTGGACTATATGGGCCATTGGTCTAATCCTATGGGTCTTATGTTCTTTTACTTGATCCCCCACCTCTTTTGCTAAATACGGAGATTCTGTTCTTTAGCTTTGTTAGTTGTGTGAAATTAAGTAGTAAAGGCTTGCCTCAAGGATCTGCCAATGTGGTTTGGGCGAAGTGGATGATATTGAGCACTATTTACTTAGATGCTCATGGCACGAATCACTTAGGCAGAGTTTTATATACCCTATCTTACCTTTGCACAATGGATTCTCAGAACAGGAGTTGGTTGTTTTTTTGCTCTCTGATACGGATGTATATGTTACCAGCAGAATGTCCTTATTTGCTTTGGCGGCAAAAAAGATAAGATTAAGGTTAGGATTCAGCGCAAGTCAGTGAAGGGATGTCTTAATGTAATGAACATGGGTGTGTATGTATTTTTGTTTTGTTATGGCCAATGGCTAATACAATAAACTTGATGATGATGATGAAGTAGTAAAGGCAGGTTTCTCGTTTTGAAACTAAAATGTGTATGTTGGCTTCTCTGAAATCTCGTATGAAAAGTGGAAGCTGGTTGGATAGATGCAGTGTGTGCTGGTTTGGAACACCAAGCATTATGTTTTTCACCTGTCCCACCTAACCCCAATTCCATAGTTCTTCCCACAGCAAGGGTTTGGTGGTGGAAGAATGATTATGTTTTGCTTTCATGTAGGAGCCAACAAAACAAGAAATGTCCTAAAATATTGTTTTTATTGTGCCGTGTTTTGTTTTGCCATTTTAGAATTTCTGACATGTTGGCTGCAGGTGGATTTCTAAGGCCGTCACCAAGGAAAACAGTTCGATTTGGTGGGACCTTGACAGATATTCTGCTAAAATACCAAAAGGTAATGTAGCTGTGCATCGTTGTCTGTGTTGTGTACATGATGATTGCAAAGGGGGGCCATATTAGTCCATCATAGCAAAATAAAACAGAAGTCTAGCAGCATCTTAAAGACTCACATTGTTTATTTCCATGAGTGTTATGAATCACAGCTTACCCCATTCTTGTATATCTGCTTTGCATGACATGGAGAAGGGATGAGATATGATTACTGTCAATTTGGAGACAAAAGTGTAAAGTGTTGATTTTAAATTCAGGAAGTTTATTCTGAAGAGATCAACTTTTTGTGGTATTTTCCTTTCTTTTTAATGTGTCCTGTTTGTAGTAAAAGAATAATTGAGGTCACTGAATCTAAAAACAGGTCTTGCCGTCAAGATTGCATGGATTACCAGAATATACCTTAATGCTTTTATTTTTCTCTCTTAGGGAGAGAAAGCTGATTTTGATTTATTGAAGGATCAGCTGTTGGATCCAGGCATAAAAGTAAGGGATTTTACACCAAAGTATCTCGATATGCTTGCTCCTTAGATAGAGAATAAAATTTTGGTGATATCCACTATATGTTTTCTGTACTGCCTATATCCCTTTTTTCAAAAAACGTTTCAGCCACCTTTGTTACTTATCAGCAGACTTTGGTGGTTTCTGCTAGAGGTAGACCTCATTCCTTTTTTTCTCTCTGGTGTCTGTTGTATTCAGTGTTGCCTACACAGATGTCATGGCTCTTACTGATATGTCTTTTAAGGAAATCCTTTTCATTCTCTGTTTACATTTGTGTGTCCACCGCATACAGTAGTGCACCTATTTTATGAAAAGCTTTGTGTCTGTCAGTCTGAGGAGGTAGAGAGTGTTACTCAAAGGTCATTTCGGGGGGGATTGCAGTTCCCCTGGGTGAGGTACGGGGGCGGGGCACATGACGAAGCCCCGCCCCCTGCTTCCGGCCGCCCCGCTTCCAGCCCTCATTCAGCCAGAAGGAGGCAGGAGAAGAGGGAGGGTAAGTTGCTTCCTCCCTGCCTCTCCCCACCCCTGCCTGCTTGGGGCCAGGGAGGGCCTTCGCGGGGCTTCCTTGCACTCACGCCGACCTTGCAGGTCCACCGCTGGGCCCCTCATGGGGCTCGGCAGTGGAGCTGCAAGGCCAGCGGCGGCGGCCGGGACCGTTGGGGGCGAGGTGTGTGGCCTTATGACACACTTCTGGTGATGTCAGGGGGTGTGGCATATGCTAATGAGTTATGCTAATGAGTTCCCCTAGCTTTTTTTCTACAAAACGACCCCTGGTTACTTACCATACATTAAGTTGCCTTTTATGAATAAACAACTGGGGGGGGGGTATTTCTTGGCAGCATTTTACAGACATTTGGTAATATTTTATTTATGTTATTTTCCTTTATTATACACGGTCTTCCTCCCCAATGGGCGTCCATAGTGGCTTACCTTGTTCTCCCCTCTTCGATTTTATCCTCACAAGAACACTGTGGTACCCCTGGCCTGGATAGCCCAGGCAACCCCGATCTTGTCAGGTCTTGGAAGCTAAGCAGGGCCAGCCCTGGCTAGGGTTTGGATGGGAGACCTCCAAGGACTACCAGGGTCGGGACACAGAGGCAGGCAATAGCAAGTCCCACTAGGGATTGCCAGAAGTCAGCTTAACTTGATTGCAAAAAAAGAGAGAGAAAACACTATTTATTTTTTTCCAATTTTTGAATTGCCTAATCCCCACGAATGTGGGGGTCTAGGCGATGTACAGATTTAAAAGCAATAAAACAATAAAAATCTACTTTGTGGTAGGTTCAGTGGCATGCGTGTGACTGGCCCCCAAGGTCATGCAGCAACCTTTCATGGCAGAGTGGGGATTCCAGATCATAGTCAAGTACTCTAACCGCTACACCACACCGTCTGTCGTAGCAGACCAATCTTCGAGTAAATATGAACTCTCCATTTTTGCACTGAGACTTACAGATTTTGAGTACGCCTATCTCATGGGATGTCTTGTATTACTGACAACCTTATTTGATAACTAATACCTAGCTAGTGGTATGTTTAAAAACTTTTAAAATTGATATGCTATACTTTAAAAAAAAATACGACAGGTGCTTTAGCAAATGTTTTAAGCATAATTGTTCACATTTGGATGGATAGGCCTTGTTAGCTGCCCTGGTGGGGAGGGCGGGGTATAAATCAATCAATCAAATAAATAAAGCTCTTTTTCTCTCCGCTCCCCACAGCCAGGAGATTTGGTTAAAAATGTGTATAGGTTTGTATGAGGGCAATAATACGCATAGGAAGTCTTACAGAATGGCTGTTGCTTATTTTTTTAATGCCGTCAGTAATAATATTTTGGATTTTTGATAATGTTCAACTGTTAAAATGAAGGATGACCAGATTATTCATTGGCTACATGAGTTCCGGTCTTCCGTTGCGGTCCTGACAAAGGAGTTTGAACAGCTTGTCAGCGTCTTATTGGTAAGAATGTGCTGAAATGAATAATATTCTAGCTGGTTTTTTAATTTCATCTGCCCAGTGCATGTTCTCATTGCTTGTATATACAACATTGCAGAAAGTACCATGGCTCCAAAGAAGCAAAGCTGTGGAGGAGGAGTACTTGGCTTTCCTGAGCAACTTGGTGTCAGCTCAGACAATCTACCTTCGGCCGTGTCTTGCTATGATCATCTCACACTTTATTCCCCGTGAGTTTTTTCCTCCCCATGGTTCTTATAATTGGAGTACTTGTGCAAGCTACCTTTTTAATTTGGTGATCACTGGGATTTTCTTAAATGACAGTTGCAGAGTTTATGTTTACATTGCTTATCAGCACCTGAAATGTTATTTGAACCGTTACAAGCTGGAACCCATCAGGCATCATTGGGGACAGAGTAATTTGGATGTTCCATCCCCCTCCCCAGGATTTTATAAGCTCTCGGGGACTTGAGCAAGCTGATTCAACCCCTCCCCCCAACTGACACTCCACTGAACTCATCATTCTCAGCCTCCTGGTACATATTCAGTCCTCATTCAACCATTCCCCCACCCAGGAAACTAGTTTACATAGTCATATTTTTCTATGTGCTTGGGTATGTATGCAAGTATGTTTTTACTGCTTTTGTCACAGGGCATAGCCGTTTCACCATTAGATGTAGTGATTTGAACTCAGATGTTATAGACTGTTTTCTGCGTGGTACACTTGTTGTGTAAGGAAAACTTGGGTTTGAATCTAGAAGAAGAAGAAGAAGAAGAGATTGGATTTATACCCCGCCCTTCTCTTGGAGTCTCAGAGCGGCTCACAAACTCCTTTCCCTTCCCCCTCCCCACAACAGACACCCTGTGAGGTGGGTGGGGCTGAGAGAACTCTGACACAAACGGCTCTTTTTCAAGGACAGCTGTGCCCGAGCTTGTGACTGACCCAAGGTCACATCAGCAGGTGCAAGTGGAGGAGTGGGGAATCAAACCCGGTTCTCCCAGATTAGAGTCCGCACACTTAACCAATACACCAAACTGGCTCTCTGGCTGATCATAAATAATCACTGTCTGTCTGTTACATGGACTCCTGTACATGCACACTACCCTGCGCTCCTTAAAAGAAGGATGGGTCAGGTCTGAGGAATGAAAGAGCGCAGTTCTTATAAAGATAACTGGAATATGCTAAATCTGTTACAAGCCAGCAGTCAGCTTCTGTTAAAATAGTTCTGGCTACTTCAGACAATGCTCTCTGTTGATACCACTCTGTCTGGAACCTCAGCACGCAAAAAGAACATGCTGACTCATGTCCAGACAGCTGCAAAAATAGTTCCAGGTTCCTAAAGGAATTTTCCGCTCTGCTTCTTGAGCAGCATAAGAATATGTTATTCCCACAAAAATCCCGATACACTGAAATCCTTTTTGCCTCTTCAGGTTCCTGTTGTTGTCTAAATGCTGAAAAGGAACTACTACTTCTCTCAATGGAATTCAGTGCAAGTGGGCATTGTGATGGCCACAGGCATGGATGGCTTTAGAAAGGGGTTAGATAGATTCATGGAGCAGAGAGGTCCATCCATGGCTACTAGCCATGGTGATTAAAGGAAGGCACCAAGACTCTGAATACTAGTGCTGGGAGGCAACATCAAGGGAAGGCCTTGGTCTCTGTATCCTATTTGGTGGACCGCCAAGGCAGCTGGTTGGTCGCTGTGCAAGATAGGATGCTGGGTCACTAGTCTGATCTAGCAGGGGTCTGATGTTGGTTTAAATCTGAGATGTTTCTGATGGCTGCAGTTGAAACCTTGCAGTCAAGCATGGTCACTGACATCCTGTATAATAAACATGGTATTTCCTCATTTGCAAGTATGTGTTCGAGAAGGAAGAAGAAGAGATTGGATTTATCCCCCACCCTTCACTTGGAGTCTCAGAGGGGCTTACAAACTCCTTTCCCTTCCCCTCCCCACGACAGGCACCCTGTGTGGTGGGTGGGGCTGAGAGAACTCTGACACAAACTGCTCTTTTTCAAGGACAGCTGTGCCAGAGCTTGTGACTGACCCAAGGTCACATCAGCAGGTGCAAGTGGAGGAGTGGGGAATCAAACCCGCTTCTCCCAGATTACAGTCCGCACACTTAACCACTACACCAAACTGGCTCTCAGGGGATAGGAAGTGGCCATATTTATTTGCGGGAATTGATGCATATCATCAGCATGAAGCTGTTAGCATAAAAAGAGTTAAGCATAAAAAGCAGTGTAAGCAGTCTTTGTGAATGGAGGCATGAAGGAGGGGTGCCTGGCTGCTGCTTGCTCTTCCCCTGATGGTCTTGGTTGAGGACTACCTAGGGAGGACGTACCCAGGAACCAGCTTAGGACCGGACTCCAAAATCTCAAAGCATTTAGAAGTTCTGAAGTCTCAATTGAATGCCCTCCCCCACTCATCCTCTGTGATAAATTGAAATGTATCTTTCGTTAGAACATTGGGAACATTTCCTTAAAAGACTGCCAGAACCATATCATGTGTTGAAAATTTCATGGTCTGCAATCTGGAATGCAGCACAATTGGTAATGGGGGTTTGGCCGATTAAATTTTAGGTAGCTGCAAAAAACTCGTTTGGCAGTGTGGCTGTCTTTTTAAGTGGTATATTTAGAAAGAATCCTGTTTCCTGCCAGCTCGAATCACTGTGCGAGAGGATGATGTGGACATCTCCGATTCAGACGACGACGATGAAAGTGAGTAGTGACATTGTATTCAGTGCTCACTTTAGTGCCAAATAGTCTTTCTCATTAAGCATATTATTTCCTGTTTAATACACTGAAACTAGCGTTGCAAAGCCTGTGAAGAGTAGTGCTTCAGCATATTTAGGACAGAGGAATAAGCGTGAATTGTACTTTGCTTTAATATCTGTGGAAGGTTTACTGTCAACGCAAGTACCATACAGATTTTATGGTAAAAACTAGGGTTTGTGTTTTTTTTGCAAGTAGAGGGTCTCAGGTTCAATCCCCACCATCTCCAGTTAAAGGTTCCCAGGCAGCAGGTGGTGGGAATGATCTTTTTCTTGCTAAGAGCCACTACTTACTTAATTTCTTGCGGAGAGCCACTACTTAGAAGAATGGACAATGCTGAAGCATGTGGATCAATATATAATATACATGCTTCCTCAGGCTTTCAAAGGACATCTTTCTGTTAGTAATGATCTGCTCAGTAGCCAGGGAGCCTTTTTGTCAAAACCTGGTCAGACCTGGGACCTTCTCCATTGCAGAGAAAGTGTTCTATCACTGAGCTGCAACCCCTGTGATCAGTAGTAGTGATCAGAGTTCCTTCTAAGCGGCACTAGGGGGCACTGGTGCACATAATTTTAGGTGGCAGCTCAGGGATTTTACCTTCAGCTCACAAGTAAACTGAGAAGGCATCCCCCCCCCTTTGGAAACAATGAAGGATGAGGGCACCTCCTTCTAAGGCCCATAGAATTGTACCCCCGGTCCAATTTTTTTGAAACTTGGGGGGGGGGGTTTGATGAGAGACATCAGCAGCTATGCTGCAAATTTGGTGCCTCACCCTAAAAAAACCAGTCCCCCCGAGCCCCACACCCCCCCGGATCAATTCTCCTATTATGCTTTTCAGTAGGATTTATAAGCTGCCTTGAGTCACAGGGAAAGTGGGATATAAATTTTTGAATAAATAAGTAGTTTGAACAGGTTGATAACATTTAAGCAACTTTCTGTTTGTTAGGTTAGTTAGGGTTCTAACAGTGATTGTTCCACCTCTGTTATACTTGACCTGTAATTTGTCATAGTTCACTAAAAAAAACCCCAAAGTAGACCTCAAGAGTTCCCAACCCCCTCCTTCCCAACCTCCTACCCCAGCCCCAACTGCTGGTATATTTTCTAAGGCTCAGCTCAGGGTGCCGGAACAAGGCCAGGTCTACCAGTATAGTAGACTGGGGTGGGTAAACTTGTTCTCAGGAGGCCAGGTCTACCAATATAATGGACTGGGGTGGGTAGAACTCTTCTCCAGAGGCCAGGTCTACCAGTATAGTGGAAAGTGGTGGTTAGGTCTGTTCTCCAGAGACTAGGTCTACCAATATAGTGGAAATGGGTAGGTAGACCTGTTTTCCAGAGGCTGGTCTACTCCCATAGAGGACAACATTTTCTGTAATGAAATTTGACTTGATTCTGTTTTCTCTGATAATGTTTAAATTGTTCTTAAAATATAGTTTAAAATAGTTTAAAAGAATTAGTTCTGAGGTTTTTACAAGGTTATGGAAATAATGTTGTAAAAAAATAAATTTATGCAATAGTCAAATGTAGATTTGCTCACAACTTTAATGCTGCTAGCTTTTTTTGCTCACGAAATAGAATTTTTGCTCACAACACTGTGGCGCTTAGAGGGAACATTGCTTTTATTTCGGTAATTTGAACTTTTGTTTCTGTCTGACTGCAACTTAGGTACATTAGATGAAAATATTAGGACCGGAATAGCAAACAAAACAATCTACCTTGAGAAATGAAAGAAATGCACCTGTGACACCTGCCTGGATTGCTGTGCTTCGCTTGCTTTGACAATTCTCAGGGTTTTTTTTCAATTTTTGCAGATGTTACCAGATCCTTTAACGCGTGTCACAGAGCATTGCAAACAGTTGCCAGATATGTCCCTTTGTAAGTGCCTTCAATTTTATTTGGCTTGTTGTCTATGTCCTTGTCCTTTTTGCCAGCCCATAAAGTGAAATGAATTGTTAAAGCATTTAGAGCAACAAGGCTTTTTACAAAGGCTTAAAGGAGTTATGCTGTTTAAGATGGTCATACATAGTGAGATAGTCTTAAATGACCTTTCTGTAGGTTACGCTGTTTGTATTGCTGCCGTAGAATGCTTTGTTTAGACAGTTGTTTAAATCCATAAGAAGGGTAAAGAGTCCCTGTTGTTTGTTTATTTATTTATTTATTTAACTTTCAGTTTATATACCGCTCGAACCCCGAAGGGTATCTGAGCGGTTTACATACGATTTTAATTTCCGACCTAGGGCCACATTAAGTGGGGGAAGTGTTTGCCTACCAGCACCCAGGCAGCTCTTGTTGGCTCTTTCCAGCGGGCTTCAGGTGTTCTTCTTGGCGGTCAACCTCCTGGCCCCTTGGGGCGGGACTTGCTTCCTTTGGGACGGGTCTTTCTTCCAGCAACTTCCTCTGGCAGGCTTTTCTCCCGGGGCATGGCCACGTGCCAGCCACAGCTCCGGCTATGTCCTGCTGGCTCCGCCGCGCCGTCACGCCCCCACGACTCCGCCTCCGCCCAGTCTCCGTCGCTCAACATCACTAGGTCGCCAGGGCTGCTTGCCGATCGCTCCGCCATTGTGTACTTAAAGGTGTTAGGCAGGATCACTTAACAGAGACTAGATGCCACAAAGCAGACTGGCTATCTCTGCCCTTCCAGTTAATTAGGTTAAGGAATATTTGAACTGCGTGTTCCTGCCACTATTTCAGTGTGTGTTTGTGGGTGGAGTTTTCTTATCAGCATATTCAGGGCAGTGAGTAGGAGGAAGGCTTAAAAATTGGAATGTTTTTCCTTGCATTTCTGGGAGCCTTTTACAAGTGGAAGGAGACTTGGGGTGGGCACTTCATATTTCCCCCTTTCTTGTGTTTTCTCTGCTCCCTCCCAGTCTCACCTGGTTTTCTTTCCACCCATCAGGTTTTTCCCTCTTCTGCATGCTCTTCCTTCTTTCCTCGCAAACCCTCCTTCCTCTCTCACCCTTGCATGTACTGCTCCTTTCCCCTGGCCTTCTGGTTTTCCCTCCCTTTGTCTTCTTTTCTCCTCACACCACCTGATGAGTTTGTTCACCTCTGTCCTGCTGCCCGTTGACCTTCCCAGTCTTGCTCAGTGCAATGAAGAAGGAGCTTAGAAGCAGACTTGTTCAGCCTGCCTAAGCCTCTTCTGTCGTCCCCTTGAGGTGGCCAGTACGACTGCGCTATAGCAACCCAAAGTCATTCCCCCACCCCCAATAATTTGTGATGTTGGTGTATGCCAGATGTCATGGTGCCAGGGCCTTGAATAAACTACATGAAATGATTGTAGTCCCTTTTGCGTTTTGCCTTTGACGCTGTTTTCTTTGTAGGAAGTGCCAATATCTATGTGGGTTGATTTCTGAAGGATTTGGGGAGGTTTTTTGATCTTTGTTTTTTTTAAACTCAGTGGTAATCATATAGCTCAATCAGTAAATAGCATTTTATTGGCATAGTGAAGGGAATATTTAGGTTAAGCAATCGGTATCAAAATGAGATATACAAAACATTGTGATTTTTTTGTACATACACACATGTGTCTGTGTGTGTGCGCGCGTACAAATATGTATTATTTTGCATTGCAGGACACCACAGTTTCTTATGCCGGTGTTAACTGAAAAATTCCCCTTCATTAATAAGTCAGAAAGAACTCTGGTAAGGGACTTATGTGTCTTGTTTGTTTTGTTTACTTATTAGAATATTTATATCCCTCCTTTTTTTGTAGCTCAGGTGGCTACAAATCTCGGGTTTAAACATATAGAATAAAATAAAACCCCACATAACCATCCTTCTCCATCTATAAGTGCCTGCAGCCTACACCCCATCATTGCAAATCAAATGGCTTTGCAACACCTCCTAACATTTCTAGAGATTCAAAGTGCCTCTCTTTGTGCTGTTGCATTTGCAGTGTGTGTGTGTGTGTGTGTGTGTGTGTGTTAAGTTTTGTCAAGTTGCTTCTAACGTACGGCGACCCTATGAATTAATGGCCTCCAAAATGTACTGCCATTATCAGCCTTGCTCCGGTCTTGCAAATGGAAGGTCATGGCCAGTGTTCCCTCTAAGCTGAATTAGTGTGAGCTAGCTCACAGTTTTTTAGCCTCCGGCTCACAAATGTTTGTCTTAGCTCAGGAAGGATGGCTCCAGAGCAAACTAATTTATGCAGCAGCCAAATGGCTTGCTCACAACTTTAATGCCAGTAGCTCACAAAGGAGAATTTTTGCTCACAAGACTCCACAGCTTAGAGGGAACATGGCCTCCTTGATGGAGGCAATCCATCTCATGGTGGGTCTTCCTCTTTTCCTGCTGCTTTCAGCTTTTCCAAGTGTCACTGTCTTTTCTAGTAGCTCTTGTCTTCTTATAATGTGACTGAAGTACAATAATTTCAGTTTGGTCATTTTAGCTTCTAGGGAGAGTTCAGGCTTGATTTGATCTAGAATCCACTTGTCTTTTTTGGTGGTAAAACTCTCCTCCAACACCACATTTCAAATGAATCAACTTCCTAGCAGCTTTCTTCTCTGTCCAACTTTCACACCCGTACATAGTAATGGGGAATACTATGGCATGAGTGATTTTGATCTCTGTCACCAGTGACATATCCTTACACTAAAGGATCGTTTCTATATCCTTCATGGCTACCCTTACCAGTCCCAGTCTCAGTCTCCTGATTTCTTGGTTGCAATCTCCCTTTTTTCTTTTTTGTTTGGCTGGTAGGGGAGGCAGGGCCGGACTGCTGAGGTGGGGTTGGGCGGGGTGGGCCCACCCACCCGACTCCTAGTCATCACGGCCCCCCAGTTGCAAGGGCATGAACATGGAGTCCAGAATCTCCTCCCTTTGACTATTGCGGGAGGCGGGATAGTGCATCGGCTAGACAATTTGCCGAGCTCGGGAAATAATGAAGTGTGAATTGGAACTTGGAAAAGAAGTCGGCCCAACGCAATTGCTTGGCGTTGAGGGTACGGGAATTTTTTAACACTTCCAGGTTTTTATGATCTGTCCAGACCTAAAACGGCACCCTGGCACCCTCCAACCATTGCCGCCATGTAGAGAGTGGCAGCTGGATTGCCCCCGCCTCCTTGTCCCACACCAACCAGTGGCGTTCAGTCTCATTAAACTTGCAGGATACATACGCCAGGGGGTGCAACCTCCCATCCTCCCCCTCCTGTAGGATCACCCCGCCCATGGCGACGTCGGAAGCATTGACTTGCACAATGAATTTTTTATTCTCATTGAGGTGGGCCAAGGCCGGTTCCGAGGTGAAGAGTTTTTTAAGGCGGTCGAACGCCTTCTGACGTTCATTTGTCCATAGTAACTTAGCACCCAGCTTGGTGGCTTCTGGGCCCTTCCCTTTGGGTTTCAACAGATTGGTGAGGGGGAGATCGAAAAAAAATTCCGATAAAAATTGGAAAATCCAAGGAAGGGTTGTAGCTGGCGGTGGGTGCGGGGAGCTTCCCACCCCAGTACACCACGGACCTTCCCCGGGACCATTTCCAGCCCCTTTTCTGAGATGCTATATCCCAAGAAGTCAATAGCCGTTTGATGAAATTCTCATTTAGAAAGTTTCGCAAACAGTTTGTGCTTGTGCAACATCTGGAGCACCTCCCTCACCAGTTTCACATGCGAGGGTAAATCGGGGGAGTACAGCAAGATAGCATCTAAATAGACAAGGACACCTTTAAACAAGTGTTTGTGTAACACTTCGTTGATCAGGTTCATGAAAACTCCCGGAGCGCCCTGGAGACCGAATGGCATCACCCTATATTCGAACTGCCCCAGGGGAGTGTTGAAAGGCGTCTTGTGCTCATCCCTCTCTTTTATGCTCACTGTGAAGTACGCAATTAAATACAAGCTCTTCTTCCTCATTTTGACTTCAATCTTCTATTTTTGACTGGATATTAATTTGTATAACACTTGGGAGTTGCAGTTCTAATTCCCTTTGCTACAGTAAGGCCAGCTGAGAACTACAACTCCCAAGGTGCAACGTGTCAGAAGTGGGGGTGTAAGAATGGAGGAGCCAGTGGGCAGGCCAATAGTACACCAAGGCAGCTTCCCCAGTGGCCAATGGGAGAGTATGGCTTGTCCGTGTGTCTGTGTGTGTGTGTATTGCTAATGAAGAAGTTGCCAGCTCCTGCTCTGCTTTCAACAGGCATTTCTGCAGATCTGTAGACTGCCTCTTGAATCAAGATTAAAGAAACCACCAATGTTGGTACTTAGGTCTTTGTTGGTTTTCAGTGCCTCGGAGGTTCCCCTACCCCTTGCAAAGAAGCCACCCTTCCTTAAAATAATATTTGTATTACAGCAGTGCTATGTACACAACATGCTTCGAATTAGTGGCTACATCCCAGGGCTGAGACATGACATTTTGGAGCTGGTGACTGAAAGATTGTTAAAGATTGATGTAAGTATAGAACCTGGTAAGTTGTTGCTTCAGAAAATATTATATAGTTACAATGGTGTGCGTGTGTTTCAGTATGACTTTCCAGTCCCATCGACTTAGAAAAGCTTACTCTGCTTTGTTTCCACCAAGGATTAGTAGCCAGCCAAGGTTTATGTTCATCACAACCCTGTCTTTTCTCCATTTTTTTAAATATTTATCTGGCTGCATTTCTCCTGACCATCTCCCTCTGTTTCTTCTTCTTCTGGTGGGGTTGTCTGGCATCCCGTGACTGTGATAGTGAAACCCTGCCCCCACCTCAGCCCAGAGCATGGTGTGTACCTGCAGGGATGAGCTTCTGAACTGCTTTGAAAGCAGCAAGAAGTCTCAGAATTTGTCTCCAAGGCTCAGCACATAGTATTAGGGTGAATGCTGCACGTTCCTCGTGAAGCTACGAAAGGCAGGAACTCTCCCTGTCTCAGTGCTGGCTTGGGAGACATCTTGCTGCTTTCTGAATGCTTCTGAAGCCAAGATTAGAGGGAGGAGTGCCCTCAACACACAAGTCTGCAGGCCTCTGAAAAGGGCAGGGGCTCTCCCTTGATGCTGTGCAGTTGTCATACCAAAGTATGGACTTTATAAAGACAAACTAGAAAGCCCATTTTCAGGCCCAACACAATTCAGTGTTTTCTGTTGTGAGGTAATTGACTTGTTTGAACATTGTAAGTAGCAGAGCTGACCAAGGGCAAAAGGGGTGCCCACCAATGTTCCCTCTAAGCTGTGGAGTCCTGTGAGCACAAATTCTACTTTCTGAGCTCCTGGCATTCAAGTTGTGAGCAGGTGATTTGGCTACTGCATAAATTAGTCTGCTCTGGAGCCCTCCTTCCTGAGCTAAGACAAAAATGGGTGAGCCGGAGGCTAAAAAACTGTGAGCTAGCTCACACTAACTCAGCTTAGAGGGAACACTGGTGCCCACCCATATGAAATCAGTTGTTCAACACAAACTAGATATCCCTGTAGAAGTTTTTATCATGGGTAATTGTGACATAATCCTAAATATTCTCTCATTCTTTAATCTGTGTATGGCATAAAGTGATATGAACTGATCTAATCTAGTCTGGAAAGAGCACGGTCTGAATACAGGAACTGGGTTTCAGATGATCATGGCTGGGTCTGGTCGACATCTGAGTGAGAGAAGGATGACCTACAAATAGAAATACATTAATTTTAAGGAAGTGTACAGTGTTTTGCAGCTAAGTTACAGTATCCCTGTTTGACACTTCTTCTTTTTTTGTAAAAATTTTTATTTCGTTTCCGTTTAAACATTTATACATTTCATCTACACATCTTACATATATATCAGAGTCATTCATCACTTAATTCTTATGTACTTTTTTGGGTCCCTAACTTCTTGACAGTTCTTCTATCCATTTATAGACCTTTTCCCATCTCTTTACATGTACCTTTTCATTCCTATTCTGTAACATTAAACTTAAATCATCTATTCTTGCTAACCAGTATTTTACCTATTAGTTCTTCCCTCTTGGGTATAGCTTCAGATTTCCAATTTTTGGCTAAAAGCAGTCTGGCAGCTGTTATAATATATCCTAATATATACGATTCTTGTTTATTATAACCAGGGCTATTTTTGGGCAGGAACGCACAGGAACGGAGTTCCGGCTGGCTCCCAAGTTGGCTACGCCCAGCAGGAACTCATTAGCATAATAGGACACACCCAACAGCAGAAACTCATTCGGATTGGCTACAATTAGGGGTGTGTGGCCTAACATGCAAAAAGCCCTGGGTTTTGACAACAAACAAGGTAAAGAGAATAAGAAGCAAAAGGTGGGTGTGGCTGGATGACCACACTTCTGGTAACATGGGGGTGTGGCCTAATATGTGAATGAGCTGTGCTGTCAGGGTGTGGCCTAATATGCTAATGAGTTCCTGCTGTTGGGTATGGCCTATTATGCTAATGAGTTCCTGCTGGGCTTTTTCTACAAAAAGAGCCCTGATTATAACCTTCCGGGATCCCTGCTTGACACTTCCCCTTGTGCGATGTGTTTAACCCAAACTAGAATGAGGTTTGTACTGGTATTCACCTAACAGATCTTTAGAAATACCCCATCCCCTACTGTTTGCAACAGGTGAGCGCCCCTAGAAAAGACATCGAAGCTGCTGAAGATGCTGAAAGCAAGGAAGCCTGTGAGGAACGACTCTTTGATATGGTAAATTCGCTCGGCAAAATGAGGAGAAAGTTGTAAGTGTTTGGCCGTGGCTGGGTTGAGCCCAAATCATATGGTTTTATGACATATGAGTGAGATGGGTTCGTTGGTTTGGAGGAAGGGTGGGATAAAAAAAAACTGGACCAGGTACTACATTCAAATGTATATACAATTCTGGCCATCATCTCCCTGAGTACAGTAAAAATTGTTTTTTTATTAAGTTGGGAAAGAATTGGCTCATTGGTGACTGACTTTCATCTTTTAAGTAGGACCAACGTTGTCACTTGGACCATAGGAACAGGCTTTCTTACCACCTCTGTAAACACCGTATTAGAATTTGTTTCCCCAATATTGTATTTTAACAGGATGAAGATGAGGAAGACAGAGAGAAGAGTGATGTGATGGCTCATCCAACTGCAGAGCGGCTGGACATCCTAATGATCATCTTATTTTCCTATATTAGAGATGTCTGCCATGTAAATGGTAATGAATTTTTCACATTTTCTGCTTAAACTTTCTGTCTCTGTGTCAGATGTGCTGCCATGGGCGTTGGGATGTTCTTTCAGTGTCTGTGTAAATTGCTTTCGCATTCCTGTCTCTGCTTTGCGCCGAAACACTTATCTATAACGATGTGCGGGGGGGGGGGGGTGTTGTCTGCCTTTCCAGGCAGCCGTGGGAGCCGGACAGTTCCCAGTTTCGCCTAGTAACAGTTTGCTGCCTTTAGCCCGCGCGCGGGAGGGTGCCTAATTGGCTAACGCAGTGGGGGGGGTGCATACGAGTGCCCTATATCTTATTATGTCCGAGGGACAACTGCCATTCTTAACAGTGTATGTTAATGCATCTATAGCTCTTCAATAAAAGTATCACCTTTCTTGAAAGCGTGTACTCCGTTGCTGGCTGTGGGTTCTGACATTCTGCCACCATACTGACTTTTCATCGTCAATCTGAAAGTTATTTTACTTGTGAAATTTGTATGCCAGATTTGCTGTTCTTTAAAAAAAAAAATTCTTAAAGTGGTTTATGAACACATGACAATCATATATTGGCAAAACTCTAAAATAACAAGGCACATAAAACCTAATAGTAATCCAATTCCATCTGCAAGATCTAAAAACTGTTGTTAAAAGCTCGGAAAAAGAGCATGGACTAGCCTGCTGCCTAAAAAATAATAAAGACGGTATTTACACGGGTCTCTGGGGGGGGTGGTGTCCAAAGATGGGGAGCCATTTCAATGAAAGCTGCTCCAGCCATAGCTGCTCATCTAATTTTCAGATACAAAAGAAGGGCCTCTGAAGAAGCTCTTGTAACCTGTGGGGGGTTTCCATACCCAGAGGTCTCTGAGGATCATGGGTTCGCCTTGTAGGAACTACTAGACCAAAGTAGAGAGGAGCAATGGCCAAGCTATGTAGAGAGGTTAGTGGAGAAGGCAGTAGAAAATACTCCTACAAAATATTGGCATATCTTTCAGCTGTTGCCCAGATTGTCAATTCTGCATGGATTAGGCAAAATAAGAGCTAGACTAGGATTCGGGAGACTCGGGTTCAGTGCCCCACTTTTACCATGGAAGCTTAGCGGGGGACCTGGGGCCATTCACACACTTAATCTAACCTACCCAACAGGGTTGTTGTGAGGATGAAATGGAAATGAATGAGGTCATGAGCTGCTCTGGGTCCCATGGGGGGAAAAAGGCTGAATAGAAAAAGAAGGAAGGAAATAATTGAATATTTTTCAGGACAGCAAAATTTAAGGTCCCCGTGAACATATTGATGCATGTCCTGTCATTGGTTGTGGGTGGTGAAGAAGATGCATTTTTCAGCTGTTATAGTATCTGTTCTTATACCTGAATACAAAACTAATTAGGAAAACAACAAGCAATCAGTTTCTTTTGAAGATGTGTGCACTCTCTTAGGACGGCAGCATGGTAACAAGTTTTTCTTGTCATTCACAGGAAAGCTTGATATTGGGAGAACAAAAGACTTATATCGAGACCTTGTGCTGATCTTCGATAAACTCATTTTGCCCACCTATGGCTCATGTCACGTCCAGTACATAATGTTCTACCTCTCTAGCTTCAAACTGGTGTGTATAGTTAGATCATGTGCTTCTTTCTGTTTGTTACCTGGAACTTTCAGTATGTGGCTGTGGAGATGTATGCAGTTCCTCTCTCCTTTCCCTGCCTTTTCTGACACAGCATTGTTGTGATTTTTTTGCTTTGAATAAAGACTGGCATTTGATTCAGACATCATGCCAGTCCATAGCCAGCTGGCCTCTGAGAAGGGGCAGGAGAGGGTGCTGCTGCTGCTGGAGTGGTGACGCAATGTTCCCTCTAAGCTGTGGAGTCTTGTGAGCAAAAATTCTATTTTGTGAGCTACTGGCATTAAAGTTGTGAGCAGGTGATTTGGCGACTGCATAAATCAGTTTGCCCTGGAGCCATCCTTCCTGAGCTAAGACAAAAATGTGTGAGCCGGAGGCTAAAAAACTGCGAGCTAGCTCACACTAACTCAGCTTAGAGGGAACACTGGTGGTGAGTGTTTTATTATTTGCCTTTCCTTAACTGCTGAGGAGGAGGAGCTTAGGTTACTGTGTGGGAGAACAATGTTGAGGGTTGCGTGGGTGTGTGTAACCTGTTGGAGAGTGGTGCTTGTTTGAGGGAGTGTGGTTTCTGTTTGTCTCTTTTGCCTGGGTGTCACTGATGGCAGCTTTTAGCAGTTTTGCCTGGGGCTGAATGAGTTTCAAGTTTCAAGTTTAGTTTATTGTCTTAGCCATTGGCCACAACAACACAAAATAAATCAAAGTACAACAAAACTATAAATCAATAACTTGCAGTAAGTCCTAGACCCAGTCTTATCTTTTTTGCCGCCATTGCAAACAAGGCCATTCTGCTAGTAACATGTGCATCAATATCAGAGAGCAAGAAAACAATCAAATCCTGCTCTGGAATTCCATTATACAGAGGTACAATAGGATAGATAAACCTTTGCCTAAGTGATTCGTGCCATGAACATCTCAGAATGTAATGCTCGACATCATCCACTTCACCCATACGGTATAGGCATATTCTAGAGGCGGCAGGGGCACCCAGAAAGCAGCCAATACAAACCATTGAGGGTATGACGTGGTTTCTGTTTGTCTCTTTTGCCTGGGTGTCACTGATGGCAGCTTTTAGCAGTTTTGCCTGGGGCTGAATGTTGGGTGAGCGGTGGCGCAGGCAGTAAAACGCCTGCCTTAACAACACTTGAGCAGCCACTATGGCTATTCGAGAACCACCGCGGTCGGGGTGAGCTCCCGACCCTAGTCCCAGCTCTCGCCCACCCAGCGGCTCTCGCCCACCCAGCAACTTATTAAAATGCGAGTAGATAAATGGGTACCTACCCTTAGATGGGTAGGGGGCACCCTCCTCAGGTGAGGCGACGGCGACGAGGCATCGGCTCCAGTGAAGTACCGGCGGCGGAGATGGCGTGGGCGACGTGGCGGCAGCAGCAGCAGGGCCGGAAGGAGCGATCCCTGGTGGCCGGCAGAAAAAACATCAGGTGGCTGTCGTCGACGAAGGTGGAGGCGCGTGGTGACGTAAAAAAAAAGGCAGGCGCGGCGGAGCTGGAAGGACGCAGCTGAGGCCGGTGGAAGGCGTGAATCACGTGCCACAGGCTAACTCGCCTGAGCACCAGGAGGAACATCTCGTCGGAGGGGAGACGCCGGGGAAAAAGAACTGAAGAAGAGCCGAGCCAAAAAGACAAAAAACATCGACCACCACCGGGTGCCGGTAGGCAGTCCCACCCCGTACAAAAAAATGTGGCCCTAGTTAGGGAGTAATGTGATTAGCACCCTCTCTGTAAACCGTCCAGAGACCTCCAACGGGGGTTAGGGCGGTATAAGAAATCGAAGATATAAATAAATAAATAAATAAATAAATATATTAGGCTCCTCCTTGCCAGAGGCAAGAGCCTTTGGCGAGAGCTAGAGGGCTCTTGCCCTGTGGCTCTTAGCCTGGGTGTCTGTCTTGGGGGCCCCACAGAAGGCTAAGTAGCTCCTCATTCTATATTGTTAAGTTAGTTTTTGCTTCTGCAAACCTTTCACAAGTAGTCTTGAGAGGCGGTTTCCCAGGGAAGTTATCAAAGAAGTGTCAGTGAAACTGAACTGATTTTGAAATGGATTACAACAGCGTGGCTGGTGAAGGAGCTGAGGCAGTGGCGTGCAAAGTCAGTGGCATGTTTGTATTCTTACCTGAGGGTAACAGCAATTAAACTTGCAGGAAGCGTAAGTTGGTAGCCCTACTGGAGGAGAAGATACAGGGACTTGAGGCACGCTTCTCCACGCTCGAGTTTAGAAGGGAAGGTGAAGAGTTCACAGAATGCATGAAGCACTCCTGAGAGGGCAACAGGAGGAGGAGGGAAAGGTATCTCAGCAATTGGAGGAGCACCCAACACAAGAGGAGGGCACATGGAAGAATGCAACCCACAGGAGCAGGAAGATCAAGAGACATTCTGAGCCTCTGTTACTAAGCAATCAGTTCCTGAACCTCCTCACGGATATTGATTTTGAACCACTGGAACAAGGGCTCCGCCCCCAGTCTCCACAAAGCTTGAAGAAAGTTTCTCAGACCCCTGTGGATAAGAGGACTCAAGCCTCTGCTCCCCAATATAGGAGAAGGCATGTGTTAGTAATTGGGGATTCCCTACTGAGGGGGTAGAAGCTAAAGTGTGCCGATCTCAGACTCTTGGAGAAATCAGTTCTCAACCACATTCACTTCTAAGAAGGATAAGTTTATTGAGACATTGATAGGATCCAGCCTGTACATTGGCTGTGTTAGAACTAAAGGTAAAGGCGCAAAATCAACAGTTATACAGGGTTCAAGCAGAACCAATCACCCTCAGGTACTTCCCCCACCAAAGGCAACAGCCCTTCACCCCCCTTCCTGTGCCATCCTCCCAACATGTAAGACAACAGCCAGACAGTGAAAGATGAGACTCAAGGACATTAAGATTGTCAGAGAAGTGATAAGGGGCGGTCTACATCAAAGGCTTGCAAAGTGAAAGCATTTTGGTTTCACACTCTCTTCCTCCCTCCTCCCAGTTGCTGTAGCTAACGAGCCATAAAATGCCCAGAATGTATTAAAAGAGGAGGAGGAGGAGGAGAAGAAGAAGAGATTGGATTTTTCCCCACCCTTCACTACCCAAAAGAGTCTCAAAGTAGCTTACAAACTCCTTTCCCTCCCCATCCCCACAACAGACACCCTGTGAGGTAGGTGGGGCTGAGAAAGCTCTAACAGAAACTGCTCTTGTTCAAGAAGAGCTGTGCCAGAACTATGGCTTGCCCAGTGTCATCCAGCAGGTGCAATTGCAGGAGTGGCGAATCAAACCCGGTTCTCCCAGATTAGAGTCCATGCCCTTAACCACTACACCACTACACTCAGGCATTTTGTATGTGCCTGCGAGGGTACCCTGGGCCTTCTCAAAAGGGACCATAAGTCCAGGGTGGTGGCGGCGGAAGGCGGAGACCCCCTGGGGTCATGACTGTATATTACAGCAAAGCATAACCACTGTTCAGGTACACTTCTCCCAGCATACAGTAGGGGTGTTTTTGTGTGTGTGTGTGTGTGTGTGGTGGTAACTGCAGTGAAAACTGAATATCTTTAATAAGTGTTCGGTGCCAGAAGGCACTATGTGTTAATTTAGTCACGAAAGTATTAACGTATTCCATAAACACCATCTCTTATTAGGGAATTGCAGAAGCCTTCGTAGAGCACCTTTGGAAGAAGCTACAGAATCCAAACAGCCCGACAGTGATCAGACAGGCTGCTGGAAGCTACATTGGTAGCTTTTTGGCACGAGCGAAGTTTATTCCTGTTGCGTAAGTAGCCTGCCAGAGTCCTTGATCTGGTGCATAACGGGGTTTTCAGGGGTATGCTGGAGGAAGCATGGTAGTTCAAAAACAAAAACAAATGTGCTCAGCCTTGACTGCTAAAGAGCTATTCTCCATCGAAGGGTCACAGAGAGTTTCTTTAAGGCATCCAAGTCTCTCCTTTTGGGCAGGAGCTGGAAACCAACTCAGCTGTATGGGAACCAGAGGCCGTCAGACTTGAAGAACTTTCCATACTGGAAATAGCATATGAACTGAAGTCCTTCAGCAGCTTTCAGCAGGGCTGGCTTCCCCCCGCAAAGACAAATTCTGTGCAATGTCAAGAGTAATTTCTGGAGATAGCTCATAGGGAGTCAGCTAGAAGCCACCAAAAATGTTACCAGGTATCCAGTTGCCACTGCATTGTGCTGCACAGAGAACAACACAGGAGGTTATTCTCAGCCAATCACATAGATTGCTTCAGAACAGAGTCCAGGAAGCAGTTTCTAGGATAAGCAGAACTCACGCCACAAGTGGTAGAGTAGATACAAACAGTCCCATTACCAGCTCTTCTCTGGTGGTTATCAGTGCCCAGCAGCATATCCTCTGAACAGGTTGTGTAGTCCCCTCAGGCGTCACCTGGGCCCCTGCAGCATCCCTTCAGCTCTCCTGTAGCTGTTCTTGGCCTCCTTAACTATAACTACTAGTCGCTGCAGTTCTACCCTTGTTCTTCCAAAGTCTAGGTGTGAGCCAGCCAAAGTTTAAAAACCTTTAAGTTCAACTGAAATAAAGTCAAGGCTAGGTGTAACTTTCTTGAAACTTGAAAGTGCTTTGCTTTGGGCCAGGTCCCTGTATTTGCAAAGCTCATACGCTCTGGAACTAAACACATGATACTGGGTGATTTGTCTTTAAAGCCTGTTACAGCTTAGCTCCAAGATGTTTGGAAGTGCACCTCAGTCTGTATATTCGCTCCTCAGTCATCAAGATCTTCTGGGGATAATTTGCCGGTTGTTCCATTTCATATCAAGCCAGTGATCACTTCCAAGCAGGCCTTCTTTGTCAGAGCCATCTTCATCCACCTGTGGAACCAGTTGCTTGCTGGGATTTATAGCGATTGGGACTCTGAGGGCCTTGAAGACTCTCTCCTTGCTTCTAGGCAACACACGTTATCTCTTTCTCACGGTGTTTCGTGAGATCCTTCAAGAGCTAACAAGCAGCGGCAACCACCTGTGGCCTTGAGAGATATGGACGTTTCGGTAGCAAAGCAATTAAGCGCATCAATAGGTCTACATATGAAAGTGAAAGCAATCAAGCGCATACAAAAAGCTGAAAATGAAACATTGGCAGCTTGCTAACATTTACCTAGAGCTGTAATTTTGAAGACCTAATGCTGATTTCTGAATTTTATTACCTGTTGTCGAACTGGGGTGTGTGTGTGTGATCTTAGTGTTTTAGTCTTATTTAGCACATTTTTTTAAATCCCTTCCTTCCTCCGAGGAGCTCAGGGTGGTGTACACTATTCTTCCATCCTCTGTTTTACTTTCATAACAACCCGTCAGTGAAGTAGGTTAGGCTGAAAAAGAGGGAGAGAGACTGGGCAAGGTCACCCAGAGAGCTTCCATGGCAGAGGGAGGATTTGAATCTGGGTCTCCCAGATCCTAGCCCATCACTCTATAACCACTGAACTATGTTTTTAGTGCTGTGGAAAACTGAGTTGTAAATTGCTGGATAAAAACAAATAAGTCCAGGGCTCTTTTTGTAGAAAAAGCCCACCAGGAACTCATTAGCATAATAGGCCACACCCAACAGCAGGAACTCATTAGTATATTGGGCCACACCCCTGACAGCACAGCTCATTAGCACATTACGACGCACCCCCATGTTACCAGAAGTGTGGTCATCCAGGCACACCCACCTTTTGCTTGTTATTCTGTTTACCTTGTTTGTTGTCAAAACCCAGGGCCTTTTTTTGTAGCAGGAACTCCTTTGCATGTTAGGCCACACACCCCTAATGTAGCCAATCCTAATGAGTTTCTGCTGTTGGGTGTGGCCTATTATGCTAATGAGTTCCTGCTGGGCGTGGCCAACTCGGGAGCCAGCCGGAACTCCGTTCCGGTGCGTTCCTGCTTAAAAATAGCCCTGCAAATAACCCACAGTTTGAATCTCTGCACAAATTACATGGCCAAGCCAGAACAGCTGGCAGGATCATCAACCGCATCACGCACGAGCATGATGTTGTCGTTAGAATCTTGGAATGAGATCTGGGTGACCCAGGTTCAAATCCTTACCCTGCCATGGAAGTTCTCTGGGTGATTTCTGGCTGGACGATGCTTTAGGCTGATCCTGCACTGAGCAGGGGGTTGGACTACATAGCTTGTATGGACTCTTCCAACACTGTGATTCTGTTTAGCCCGACCTATCTCACAAGGTGATTGTTGTGAGGATAAAATAGAGATGCTGAGAACAATGTTTTAAGCTGTTTTGGGACCATATGAAGGAGAAGAGCAGGTATAAATACCTAAATGAATCTCTCAGTACATTATTAGGTTAGACATCCTTATGAACATCAATCTTTTCATAAGAACATAAGAGATGCCAATGTTGGATCAGGCCAAAGGCCCATCCAGTCCAACACTCTGTATCACACAGTGGCCAGAAATACCAGTGCCATCAGGAGGTCCACCAGTGGGGCCAGGACATTAGAAGCCCTCCCACTGTTGACCCCCCCAAGCACCAAGATGACAATCACTTGCCCCAGAGTCCCTATCTGTACCTTGTGGCTAATAGCCACTGATGGACCTCTGCTCCATATGCTTATCTAATTCCCTTTTGAAGCTGTCCATGCTTGTAGCCTCCACCACTTCCGGTGGCAGTGAATTCCATGTGTTAATCACTCTTTGGGTGAAGAAGTACTTCCTTTTATCCATTATAACCCGACCGCTCAGCAATTTCATGGAGTGCCCACGAGTTCTTGTATTGTGAGAAAGGGAGAAAAGTACCTCTTTCTCTACCTGCTCTTTCCCATGCATAATCCTGTAAACCTCAATCATGTCACCCCTCAGTTGTCATTTCTCCAAGCTAAAGAGCCCTAAGCGCTTTAACCTTTCCTCATATGGAAAGTGTTCCAACCCTTTTATCATTCGAGTTGCCCTTTTCTGCACTTTTTCTAAAGCTATAATATCCTTTTTAAGGTGTGGTGACCAAAACTGCACACAGTATTCCAAATGCGGTCGCACCATTGATTTAAATAGGGGCATTATTATATTGACTGATCTGTTTTCAATACCCTTCCTAATAATCCCCAGCATAGCATTGGCCTTTTTTATTGCAGTCATGCACTGTCTCGACATTTTCAGTGAGTTATCTACTACAACTCCAATATCTCTCTCTTGATCAGTCTCTGCCATTTCAGACTCCAGTGTGCATCACCTTGCACTTGGCCACATTGAACCCCATTTGCCATGTTGACGCCCACTTGCCCATCCTTGACAGATCCCTTTGGAGTGACTCACAATCCTCACTGGTTTTCACCACCCTGAACAACTTTGTATAATCCGCAAATTTAGCCACTTCACTGCTTACTCCCAACTCCAAATAATTAATGAACAAGTTAAAAAGCATTGGACCAAGTACTGATCTCTGCGGTACCCCACTGTTTACCACCCTCCACTGAGAAAATTGCCCATTTATACTCACTCTCTGTTTTCTATGAATTAGCCAGTTTTTGATCCCAGTTTTTTCCCCATTGCAGTACAGTGAAAGCTTGCCTGGAGCTGTTGGTCAACTGGCTTCACAAGTACATTGATGACCAGGGCACTGGGTCCAAAGCATTTTGTGACACTGCTCTGCATGGTCCCTTCTACGCTGCATGCCAGGCTGTGTTCTATGTGGTTATATTTCGCCATAGGCAGATTTTAGATGGAAACCTGAAGAAAGGTGAGTACCATACAACACTGAGGCAACTTCCAGTGTGGTAGCCATACTGGCCCACTGTAGCCAAAAGAACACCAGTGTATAGCGGCAATTTTAAAATGGATCATTAACACTCATGGTACAAGTTTCCATGTCATGCATATGTTTATTCATCCTTTTGATGTTGTGTCCTGTTGTATGCCATGGGCTTGCAGCACTGCATTCAAATGGATTTCTGTTCCCAAAGGCATCATGATGTACTATATGATAAAAATCTGGAGACCAGAGCCTAACTCCATTTGCAGGGCTATTTTTGGGCAGGAACGCACAGGAATGGAGTTCCTGCTGGCTCCCGAGTTGGCTACGCCCAGCAGGGTGGCATGTGTCCATGTGAGTACATGTCTGTCAGTAGAGCACATTGCATGGAGAAAATTGCAGTTTTAGCACATGCCTGCATACAGATAAAAGAAGCAGACATTTTTAGAGGCGCACACACTGGTGTTCGCACACCAGTGATCTGTTTCAATAACAAGTAGTTATCTACTGCAATGTACAGAACAGCCCTAATACCCAGTGCTACTGTACAGGAGGTGCACCCTTCAGAAAGGAAAACCCTTTTTATTGTTTTTGTTTTGCAGGTTTGGGGTTTCTGCAGAGCTTAAATTTTGAACGCATTGTCATGTGCCACTTAAACCCCCTGAAGGTCTGTCTGCCCTCTGTTGTGAACTTGTTTGCTGCTGTTAACAGGTCAGTCTTTTAAATTTTCCATAGATTTCTACAGTCACCTTGTTATAAAAAACTGTTTGTGAGGGAAGGAGGCTTTGAATAGAAAGACATGGAGAAAGAGAGGCAGGCTCAAGCTAATGGCTCAAAGCTGCACATTAGGTGTTCACACTTTTGTAAATAGAAGAAAAGATTGGATTTATATCCCACCCTCACGACCCAAAGGTGTCTCAGAGCGGCTTACAAACTCCTTTCCCTTCCCCTCCCCAGAACAGACACCCTGTGAGGTGGGCGGGGCTGAGAGAGCTCTTGACAGAAACTGCTCTTTTCTAAGAACAGCTCTTATCAGAACTACGGCTTGCCCAAGGTCAGCCAGCCAGGTGCAAGTGGAAGAGTGGGGAATCAAACCCGGTTCTCCCAGATTAAAGTCTGCGCATTTAACCACTACACCAAACTGGCTTAAATACTAAACTTAGACCCGTTCTGGACCTACAATTCTTTACGTAGAAAGAAGTGGTCCCTGTGGAACAGTTCTGCTTCCGAATGAGGGTTCCCAACACTGCACTGGCAAATGCTAGGACATGGAGGGGCTGTGCTTAGGGAGGGTGGAGTTTGGGGAGGATGCGGTGTCATAAGAACGTAAGAGCCCTGCTGGATCAGATCAATGGTCCATCTCGTCTTGCATCATGTCTTACAAAGTGGCAAACCAGTTCCACTGGTCGGCCAACAACAGGGCATAGAGGCCAAGCCCTTCCCCTGATGTTGTCTCCTGGCTCTGGGATCAGAGGTTTAGTTCTTCTGAATGTGGCGGGTGCCCTCAGTCACTATGGCTAGTAGCCACTGATAGACTTATCCTCCATTAATCTTTATCCTCCATTAATCTATCTAATAATCCCATTTTAAAGCTGGTTATACCTGTGACCATCACTACATCCTCTGGCAGTGAATTCCATATTTTAATCACTCTCTGTGTAAAGTAGTATTTACTTTTGTCTGTCCTGAGCCTACTGCCCATCAGCTTCACTTTGGGAGAAGGAAAAATTCCCCTTTTCAGCTCTCACCATCCCATGCATCCTTATACTAATAGTCAAGTTGCCCCCGTGAGTGCGGATATCTAAATCCGCGCTCCGGGGGCAGGGAGAGGTTTGTGCACACGTGGGCCAGTCCCCACGTGTGCACAAAAATTGAAAACCTTTGAAAAAATATCAGGGGGATATTAAAATCTCCCCAAAACGAAAAGAGCGTTCCCTGCGCATGCGCAGGGAATGCTCTTCGAACGCTTCCGCAGCGGCAACAGGGGACGGGAGGGCAGGACAAGCCTTGGCTGGCTGGCTGGCGGGCTGGTGGGCTGGGAGAGACCAGCGAGGCCTGGCGGTTGCAAGCCGCTCGGGCCTCGGTTAGGAGAGGAGAAAGACCGCAGTGGGGGGGGGAGCGGCAAGACGGGGAGGGCAGGACAAGGCTTGGCGGGCGGGGAGAGACGGGGGGGAGAGCGGCAAGGCGGGGAGGGCAGCACAAGGCTTGG